GATGGTAAAAATGTGGCTTCAGACTGGACAAACAGTCAATGTATGACTTCTGGCAGACAACCACAACGCTGACGCAGGCACAAAGAGGATATTACAATAAAACGCACCATTACCTGAATAAAAGGATTTCTGTGCAGGGTTTGTACAGGTCTAGTGTTTACAGACATTTTAATGTAGAAATGTTACATATTACAGCTCTAAAACTTTAAAATGTCTTAATCAATAGCATTCTGTATCAAACACAGCTCTTTAGGGAGCTAACAAATACTACTGTTTAGCTTTTTAGCATGCCAGTATTTGCTAATTAGCGCTGAACACAAAGTACTGATTGAAAAGTCAGAAGATTGCCAACATAATGTCCATATCTTCGACACATCACCACCTTGGTTAGTACCATATTTTTTAGGACTCCTGCACCAATAAAATAGTTGAAAACTGGTGGAGCGGCAGACCAACTTTACCATCCATGCCTAATGTGGCTAAAAATGTTAATTTGTGAAGCTTTACTTTAATTTCAGACATTCACATATTGCTACCATTCAGGGCCGCCAGCATACGAAATTAATTGTGCAGTTTTAAAATCAAAAGCATCTGTTGTCTCTCTTGTGGATCAGCGGCTTACAGTGTGTTTGGGCTTTTCCTGCAATGTTATTTTGTTGTTAAGGATGTGGTCGAGATGGTGAGACTGACAGCTGAGGGCGTCGCAGGCAGGGTGTGGTGTTAGCTACTCAGACATGGACGCACACATACAGTGACACACACACTAGGTGGGACTGAGTGCCACCTCGGGCTGGCAGCCACGCTGTGGTCTTGGATGAGAAAAAAAGAGTCAAATTAAAGGTGGGATAAATGCCGACTTGAGGCTGATCCTCTTATAGCTTCATGGCGAAAACAGACTTTGTGGTTTTTTCAAAACCTCAGGGCTGAAAATTTGCCACGAATGCCGCTGAAGACAGACCCTCTCCTGCTTTTGGAGGTTATTGCTGGGAGTTTGGAGCAGAACCGTATTTTGAAATGAAAACAAATGAGAAATAGTCGTATCCAAGCTGCTGATCGGAGGGAGGTGTTGTGCGTAAATGTGCCGTAATTTTGCAGAAACCACAAATGAGACTTCCATCGATTGAGCGGTGTGCTAACGTTTCCAACATGCAAACATCTACACTGCCTTACCTTGACACTGCTACTTTTATTTCAGTCCAGAATTAAGATCTGTCCACTCCAAGGCAGAAAAAACAACGTTTAACCACAACTTTTAGGGGTAAATTAAGCAGCAGGCGCAGGGTGGGTGTCCTCTAATTTTACATTTAATGCCCATATCATAAAGCAAGATTACAGGACTGAAAGGAGTACAAAGGAGAGGAAATGGGTGTGAGGTAGAGGAACGGGTTTTAAAATGTAAACCTGAGCTGCTCCTGTGTGTTATTTCATTTTCACCCACATTTCTGCCCCCATAAGAGCTATAGTGTGGTTGTGTACTATGTGTAAGTTTTAGTTGTGAGTGTTCGGTTCAGATGATAACAAGGTCTATGACCATTGTTAGTCTTTAATTAAAAACTATATATTATTAGTATCATCCAAATTTGATATGATTATATGTTGTTTTTTTTTACTGAAACCTGCAGAGAAACCTGTCTGCCATTATGTTATAGAGCAGACAAGAAAACACTGAATCTGTCCAAAAAGAAGCATATTAAGTCTGTATGATTATTAAAAATGATTTAAAAAAAAATACATAATACAGACAGAGAATCGCATAAAAAGTTCCCTAAAGAAGAAATAATCTGCTCAAAATTCATCCAAATCTCTCATTTTACACAAAATTCCTGCAGTTACTGAGTTCACTGTTTGGATTCATTGTACAGTTTTTAATATAATATGTAATATCCATATAATATGTCACTGAGTCAGTTTAATAAATTATAGAAAAGGGGTCTCTTAAGGAAAAATGTTTGGGAATCACTGATATAGAGGCTTTTTCTGCTCAAATAATAATAAAAAATCTGAGCGACTCATACTTTATTAAAGTGATATTTCAGTGCTATTATATTATCTTCAGTGTTTTATATATTGATTTTCAGTTTGTATTCTCGTCTGTTTCGTCCTCAGGTGACAGAGGAGAAAGAGGGCTGAAGGGGGAGAAAGGCGATCGAGGAGACCGAGGAGAGAAAACAGGTAAGAGCTGATAAACAGTGTAAAGAAGTGACAGTATTCAGTCCACAACAACGAAACGGCAACTGTGAAACTATTGTGACCTCACCTATCGTCCACTAATTATATAATGTCTGTTGCTTCTGAGACAATAATCATAATTCACACTGCCGTGAGAACAAAGGACCAGTGCTTCTGTTTTTAGGGTGAAAACTCTGTGAGTAGGGTTAGTATGACGTCCTCTCATCTGCCCACGAAAGAGTCTGTCCTGGTTAAAACTGATGTATGTACATCCACCAGGCACGTCGTTAGCCTCCATGGTTTGCATTGAAAATGTTTTCAGTGACGGGTCATTAAGCAACTATTCAGCCATTTATCTGGGTTTGGGGTCCTCCAGGGTCCTTAATGGGGTTTTAAGGGGAACCAGCAGAAATGAGGAACATTTCCTATTATGCTTTTTCTTAGTTTCTGTCATTTATAAAATGTTATAATGTAAAATTTGGATGTTAAATAATGATGTGAAAAAATAATAAATGAGGTGAACATATGTAAAATGAATCTGAGTGCGTAAAAAGCTCAGAATTCATTTTTCTTTATAAAAACAAGAGAACAGTTCAGCTCAGGAGTAACTCTTAAAGTTTTTGTCTCGCAGGAAGGGCTTTTTCGATTGTGAATTGTTTTCCCTGCTTCAACTCACCGGGATTTACAGAGTTTACTGAAGGACATAATAGCTTTTCTTGTTGCTATTAGCTAACTGCTAACTGGGAGCTCGAGCCACCGCCGCTCTAAATCTCCTGTAATGTCAGACGTTAATACCAACGCTCTCCTGGTTGCTCTGAGCTCCCACTTGGGGCAGAGTCACCTAAAAGGGTGGCTTACCGCTAACAACAAATAGCTAAGGCGCTACTTCCATCAGGACTTAAAATATTTTCCCCATAAAATCTGTTCCAGTTTCACTAAAATCTGAGAATAAAGTTATAAAATTTGTGCTTTTGCAATGTAATTCTTGTCTCATTAGTGATCTGATAAACAGTAAATTCATCCAGTTCAGAGCCAATATTGATATTATACATGCTAAAGGTATTGAAGCTGTCGTACCCTGGAGAGCACACCACATGAAGGGCCCGTATAAGATAAATAAGTCTGATTTGAAGAATGAAGCCACTCTAGTGGAGTCAGACTGAGAGTATAGAGCTGGAGATCCCCTTAAATAACAACAAAACATTGCAAATCTGGAACATTTAACTTAAATTCCCCAAAATAACAACATCCCGTAAGAAAGGCCCTGTGTCTGTTTTGGTTGAGCGAGTTCATTAATGTTCTGCTGCCAGCAGTAGCTTCAAGCCTGTAAGATTCACGCAGATATCAGTTAATCCAATAAAAAGTGAACATGGTCTGCTAAAAGATTCAACACAGAAAATTGACTTTTTTACAGACTTCATTGTGGAAAACGTGTTGGAATAACTTGTTACAGTAATATGCCCTCTAATTAGTGTCACTGGAACTGAAACAAACCGCTGTTTCAGTTCCAGTGACACCGTTTTATATGTTTTCCATCATCTTCGTCTCCCACTAAACCGTTTGAGATGAACAACAGTAGAATATTGTTTTATTCTTTGGGTTGTAATCCTCTTTATTCTTTAATAAACTGTAATTCTGCAACCCGCACACATGTAGAAACATAATATACACTATGAATTGGAGTAATAAAGCTCTGCCTTCACTCCCTGCAGCTTTCACAACTCTACTGTGGGTGATGATTCCGTTTATTTCCAAGATTCATTCACATTTCTGTAGCCAACACAAAGAAGAACAACAACTGTGATAGGATACCGCAAAGAAAGATAGAAACAGATAAATGTCAGAGAAATTAATCCTGAATATAAGATGTTCAGAATCGTGGTTATGAACTAAGATATGAAGCTTTATCCTGAGTTGTTAGGAGGCATTTTAGGTGACAGCAGATTGTATTACTCTGTTTATTTTACATCTGATGCTGTTTCTCTGTATGTAGTGTAATGTAATGGCAAGACATGAGAGGCTAACTACATATGACAACATATACAACTAAATAATGAGTTAGCATTGGATACGTTCAACTTATAGTCACAATTTATGACTTTCATCATTATTAATTTTTTATCTGCATTGGTAGAAAATGGGCTTCCATATAAACTATTTTAGACTCTATGACTCTGATTCTGTGATCAATTTTTACTTAGTATTTGATCATTTTTTATAATTTTTTACATCTTCCCTAACTTTTCATCATTTATTTTCCTGAAATTGGCTTTTATACTTTATTTTGCTATCTAACTTTATTTTAGATTCTACTCTCTAATTAAGTGATCATTCAACTTTGATGAAAAAGAAAATCATCATCATCCCTAAATTTTCATTATTTTTTGTCTTATCCTGCCATAAATGGGCTTCCATACATTTAAAGAGGTGATCCCTTGAATTTTAATATAAATGTTTGAAGCAGGGTAAAATAAAACAGAATATTTATATAAATGTAGTTATATTTTAGTAAAATGCTGCACAGTACTGCTGCATAATACAAGCTGTATTATATATATAATAATGTACATCAGAGCTTGTGATCCAAAACCAACAGTTGGCAATAAAAGAACAAAGTATTTACGAGCTGATGACTTTATGGGCCTCAGCCGTCTCTGACCCACCTGAAGGATCCGTAGATCTGCTTTTCTTTTCAGCGTAATCTCACGGTTTCCAACACACGATGAAGAACCACATGCTTCGGTTCTACTTCAAAAGGATTTGAAACCCATTACGTGTCTGTGTGTATGTCCTGTGGTGGTAAACTGAAACCTCACACAGAACCATACAATCTGGATTCAGGCAGAAAGAAAAAACACATTAATGACCCCAAAACCAAATGTCTTTACCACAAATGTTCTTCACTGTAAAATCTGATTTAACTCATAAAAGATATTTGATTTGAGTAACTCAAGTATTTATTGTGAAGTAATGTGGGTAAATTAAGTTAATTGTACAAATTCAATTCAGTTAATTGAAGTTTCATTCATATATGCAGCATTTCTCCAAAATTATTTAAAATGTGTGAACAGAATTTATCTGTAACTTGACTTAAACGCTTCTTTATACAAATTAAGTTGAATTGTCGTCAGGTTTTACAGTGTACCTTTTGTTACATCATCACGGCGGTTCTCCGTTGTGAACGATCTGAACGCTGTTTCTGCCCTTCACTCTCCTCACATCGTTCACCATTAGCCGCGGATGTTTGAGGTTTCTAAGAGAGAGACCACATGCTGCTGGCTGTCAGACATATCAAATCTCTGTGTCGGGCACTTCCCTGTCACTAACCGTCTGTGGCTGACTTATCGTTTGAAGCGTGACTTGGATCTTTTTACACTTCAAAGCATACAAGCGCATACCTGTATGATCACTAGAATGAGCTCAAAGTGACCTAAAAACCCACTGATGTTTGGTCTGTGGGAAAAGTGCGAGTTTGTCTGCACATGTTGGGTGTCAGGACGTTATGTCTCTGACAGGATCAGAGCAAATGGACCCCAGATTGTAGATTGAGAAAGAGTCGGAGAGACATTTCATCTGAGTACAACAGCTCCTTCTATCTGGATTGATGGTCTGTTAAATGACTCTTGAGTCTCTTCAGTGAAACATTCAGTAAAAGGGAAGAAAAAGGAGGAAATAAAACAAAGAGGGTCTTTAATTCGGCCTAACTTGCACGTAAATCGAGGAAAATCATCCATGTTTCAGTTTAAATTCTCAACTCTACAAGAATATTCTTGACGAAGCAGCTTTTTCTAGTAACTTTAAGTGACACTAACTTACAGAAACATTCCCAATTAAGTACTTTTTATTTGTTTTTTTGTTCTCACAGTACAAATAAAGATTAACAATTCACATAATGGTGTTTTCCTGTGAGTATTTCCATGTTTCACAGGTAAGAATATCATAATCTGCCCCATTTAGGTTTGGATTTTCAGTATAAAGGCATTAAATATCTCTCTATAAACATTAGCTGACATCTTCCTGTGTGTGTATCTTGTAACCAAATACCTCATTTGCTTTTCATTTTTGGGGAATTGCAAACTGTTGTGTAATTTTCACTCGACAGTTGACAGATTATAAGAGAGATTGGAGGTGACACACACACACACACCCACACACACACACACACTCACAGCTCCATGCATTGTGTGTATTTGTCTTGAATTTCATCAAATTCTTACAGTTTGGTGCTTTATAAAGCTGCAGAAACTGTTCCAGGACCAGTATGAGTCAGCTCACTGGAAACCATTTTAAAATAGAAAAGCCTACTCTGTACTAAATGTTTCAGAAATCAAAACAGGCCTCTTTGCTGTTAACACAGAGGTTGTTCATGTCCATTACAGCCTGAGGCCAATCACAAGGGCTCTGCTGGTCTGCTCACATTCTGTTTCTGCTGTTTGTCTGCCTGCTGCATTTGTATAAATCTGACAGTGTGTCCTTTTCACATTTTGTACATTATCACTGAATGTGTGTATTGTGTCTTCTGACTCTGTATGTACTCTTGAGGCTTAAATTACACTGTATGTACTTTACGCCTGTGCATGTGCACTATATATTTTTTTTCAGTAGTTGTTCAGTAAAAGCCGGTCTTCTTATAGGCTACTGTCAAAGTGTCTTTTTTTTTTTTTTTTACTGCTTTTGCTGCTTTATGGTGTGTTTGTGTGTCTGTGATTGAGTACATTTACTCCAGTACTGTACTTTAATACAATTATGAGGCACTTTAACAGCTTTGGTTAATAGTTACTTTGCACATTAAGATTTGAAGATGAACATATAAAATTTCACAAGTTATTTGTATAATTATCTTTATTTAAATTCATGCTTCAACTGTGGGGGTTTGCTTACAATCTCTTACCAACAAGCATATATAATAATACTGTGATGTACAGGATAGTGTACAATCCCAGGAAGGTCTCAGGATTACATGAAACATTAATACATTCGCATTCACCAAACATAAGACATAA